TCAAACTAAGATTCAGACTTGTTAATTCCAATTTCAAACACAGAAAGTTTAACAATACCTCAACCAGATGATCGTAATTTTCTGGAGTTTTCTGGAAGGGCCTTAACCCTGTTGTGTTTTTAAATAGTCACCAGGGGGCGATACCTGTAGTTGCGGTAAACCCGGGGTTTATAGGAACCAGTCCTCAGTCCTGACCTCCTGTTGACTTGTTGGATTCAGTCACTTATTTCGGTCATACTGAATAAATTATTTCCGAGTTGAAAACACCTGTGGTGGCAAGCTTTACAGCGGAACCTCTATATTTTGTAGCTGTTTACCATCACAAGGGGGCAGTGTTAAAAAAATTCTCATGCTAGTTTTTAGATTTTTGACTATATGTTTGTACTTCTTTCTCTAAACATGGAGTTTGTATGTTGATCTCTTTTCTGTTTAGGCAATATTTCAAACAATCCAACAATATTCTCTCCGTCTCTCTCTTAAGGTTGTCTGTCTAACCTCCCGCCAAATGCGAAGAAGATCTCCAACTCTTACGAGGAGCGCCGTAAACAGGCCACTGCCATCGTCCTTCTGGGAGTCATTGGGGCTGAATTTGGCGCAGAGATCGAACCCCCGAAGGGCTCGGCCCGGGCTCGAGCTGGTGGACAGGCACCCGAAGGTTTTGGACTGACCAGCGGAGGATCATCCAACTACTCCCTGGCCAGACACACCTGTAAGTCCAGAAACTGCAAACACACTCATGATAACACATTTACCGAATTTCCCAGAGGAACCCACCCGAGGGATTAATAAAGTTTTATCTAATCTAATCTAATTTATTTGGTTAAATTTGCAGCCCAAAATTCTTCAAATGGACCACCAAGATGTGCACATTTTGTTTAGTTTGATAGGTTAAGAGAAATCTTAAAAACCTTTGGATGGATATGGCTGTGGTGCTTATAGGTTTTACATTTTTATGTTTGTGTAAATTCTGCAGAAAATCTCTAGTCCTGGCAGGTTTCACCATAGCAGGTGTGTTGTGTCCTACTGCTTTATGATAATAACCTGTAGAGACTCTCAGGACTGTGTTTTCAGCTTTCAGAAGCCTGTAACGGTTTCTTTCTTTTTTTTTTTTCTTTTTTCTTTTTTTTTTGCCCATTTCTGCGCTACTGAATTTACTTGCTCAGCGATAGAGTTTTGGTTGCTGCTGTGTTGGGTTTTTGGAGCCAGAAGTGACTGTATAGTACAGTACCTACTAATTAATAAGTGACAAACAAATAAAAATAAACTTTCTTGATTGTGCCACATACAAGCCCATAGTTATTGTCAGGTAATTCCACTAAAATGCTCCAAAAGCCACCAATAGCACAGTTTTATTATTATTTTATGAGGTTTAATTGGTTCCCAACTTAAACCCAATCAAATTTTAAAAGCATCTAGCCAACTAAACTGAAGTAAAAAAACATCCTAAAGACACCCTGTAAACATCCACAACTCCCCAACTGACATAGTAGAAACTTCAGTGCAGGATTAGAGGTGAGTAGAGATGGGATTGATTTTCACCTGCCAAGCTTGACACCTTAAGGAGCTTGGTGCTGACTTCCACACACACTCGGCGAGCCCGGCCCTGTGCCACGCTGTGCCTGCAGCGCTGGACCTTGGTGGGCATCAAACCTGCACTAAGTAGAGGTGCTCTTCCGTCCCACTGCTCCCGTGCTCTGATTGGCTGCCTCTGGGGGAGGGGAGGGGGACATCCGCCGGGTGACACAGCCTGCGCTCTCGCCGATAGGCTGTGGAGCGTGATGCTTCTTAGCTGGACCTGCACACAGCAGTCGGCTCACCTGTGTGGACACACACACGCACCAGAAACCTTAAATCCATGTCATGAGATAAAAACAACTCCAGATTTAATTGATTTCCTGGAGCCATACTTCACGACTGGAGACGCCGAAAAGCTATTAATTATAACTGCTTTTTAAAACAATCATCAGCATTGCATGTAAATATGAATATGAACACATTGAAACTACTCCTTAAGATTTATTCTAGTTTCAGCCATGCTTATATGGAAAATGAGTTAATTAACAACCCTGTGTGGCTAACGTTTGGTTTCTATTTTTCAGTCTTTTACAAAAATGCCCAAAACGGCGCTGATCAATTTTAAAGCCAATATGCTTTTTCTTTTTCTTTTTTTTTTTTTTCATTTAGCAGAAACCTCCAGAGTTGAAAAATCAAGTATTATGTTCTCTATTAGCAAAATTTCCCATGAAGTTAGATGTTGCGGACACAGGAAGTGGTCTGCTAGGCCTTAAAGGTCTTAAAGTTTCTATTTTGACTTGAAAGTGGTGAATTCAAGATCAGATCTAGTTGATACTAGTAGATTGTAATTAAATGGTGGAAGGGTGCGTGTGCACATATTCTCTTATATTGGGTCATCTTATGGTCATAATAATCTGGTTATGTATATCAAATCAAATCAAATCACTTTTATTGTCACATCACATGTGCAGGCACACTGGCACAGCACATGCGAGTGAAATTCTTGTGTGCGAGCCCCACAAGCAACAGAGATGTGCAAACACAACAACACAAACGAGCAAAATA